GGACCACAGGCGCCCACCACAACGCCTGGCTATTTTTTTGGTTGCAGCCGTTATTGTTGTTTGGCGGGCCCGGGCTGGATTCGAACCCGCCACCTTAGGTATATGTGGCTGGCGCCGTAGCTGCTTGAGCCACAGGCGCTGAGCCGTAATGATCTTTTTAAAAGCCCTCTTACTAAGAGTTGAATTTCTCTTGATTTCCCATAACCTTTCTAGCCCCCATAGTTTGCTGTCCAGATTAGTATTATCAGTATAATGCCAAACAAGAGAAAATGTAAGCCTCCAAATAACTTTTTTTTTCCCTCCAAATAACTTACAAAAATTTGTTGTAGAGCTGCAGCACGATGCAACAAAGGTATAGAAGTACTATTTGCCGTGGCTCTGGAACATTTTGTGTTGGTGGTTGTCAGAGTTTTGAGAGGACCTACTTCAGCAGATGAAACAGCCAAGAAGATTCAGTACCTGATCCATTGTCAGTGGTGTGAAGAGAGAATTTTTCAGAAGGATGGTAATATGGTAGAAGGTAAATTCAAGTTGCTCTTAATTATATGTGTTTAATTTATCTGTAAGCCCCCAACGAATAAGCTTTTATCACATCCCTAATTCTATGTACATTGTCCTTTGATTTTGAAGATTACAGTGCTAATTTTGTTATTTCTGTATTGGATTTCCTTTCATCAACAGACAAGAGAGTCATGCTGTACAATTCATGCTCTCTAGTTCTGTCTTCTATTGAAACATCTAGAAATAACTTATTTTCCACTCTCAACTAATTTTAGGAACATAAATCAGATTACCTCTTAATCTAGGCTGTTACAAATCATTAATTTCATGAATGTAATTTTCATGTTTTTCGCTCAACGTAAAAGCCATCAGTTATAAAATTCACTCAGCAAACATTTGTTGAGCCTCTATTATGTCCTAGGCCTGGGGATACAAGCTAAAAGCTGTTGCTTGTGCCCTCATAAAGCTGTTTTTATTTGTTTCTGTCCTGGGACATAGAAACTGTTGCTCATTGTTTGCTATTAATTTATTGGTATTTTTTAATATGAATTTTTAAGAACTCTTCATATATTAGAGTTTAGCCCTTATTATCTGAGTTGTAAATTTCTTTTCCATTTTGTCATTTTCATCTATTTTTCTTAATCTGCTGCACAGAAGTTTTTCGTTGCTATTGTAAAGTTAATTGAAATGTTATGTATTCTGGATTTTATCTTCAGTTAGAGCTTTCCTCTTCCTAAGTT